ACCTGTAACCAAAACGAGCGTTGTGGCCGAGCGTTGTGGCAAGAGCTCTTTCAAGCTATCGGACCATGTGTTTCCCCAGCCTTTGTGGAAACCCTTCGGGGAACACGTGGGGGAGGATGGCAGGGAATATCAGGAGGCGGCGGAAAAGGAGGTGGAGGCTGAGGAGGAGGTGGAGGAGACGGAGGTGGAGGAGACGGAGGAGGAGGAGGAGGAGGAGGAGGGGGCATCTTGGGAGCCTCTGGGGACACTCTTGGAGCCTCCAGGGAGCTTCCTGGGAGCCTCTTGGAGGCCTCTTGGGGGCCCTCTTGGAGGCCTCTTGGGGGCCTTCGGGAGCTTCTCGGGAGCCTAGTTGGCCATCTTGGTGGGCTCTTAGCCCGTCTGACGCCGTCGGACACCGTCTTGTGGGCCACTCTGGGCCGACTTGGGGCCCTCTTGGGGTGCTCCAGGGCCGTCTTGGAGGCCTCTTGGAGGCCTCTTGGGCTGCTCTGGGCCTCTTGGAGGCCTCCTGGAGGCCTCTTGGAGGCCTTGGGCGGCTTGGAGGCCTCTTGGGCCGTTTTGGGGCCCTCTTGGGCCCGCCTTGGAGGCCTCTTGGGCTGCTCTGGGGCCATCTTGGAGGACTCTTGGGCGATCTTGGGGCCATCTTTGGGGGCTCTTGGGCCGTCTCGGGCCGTCGGAAGGCCGAACAGAAGCAAATGTCAACATCCTTCAACAACCTAAGGAACATCAATGATGTGGGCCTCTTCGGGCTTTCCTGGGGGCTCTCTTGGAGGCCTCTCGGGCCGTCTTGGGCCATCTTAGGGCCATCTTCGGCCGTCTTGGTGGGCTCCTGGCCCGTCTGACGCCGTCGGAAGCCGTCTTGGGGGCCTCTCTGGGCCGACTCGGAGCCCTCTTGGGATGTTCGAGGGCCGTCTTCGAAACTGTCTTGGGCATCTTGGAGGCCTCTTGGGCCGTCGTTGGGCACTCTTGGGGCCGTCTTGGGGGCCTCGTGGGCCGTTCTGTGGCCATCTTGGAGGCCTCTTGGGCGATCTTTGGGGGCTCTTGGGCCGTTTCGGGCCGTCGGAAGGCCGGAAAGAATCAAATTCCAAAAGCATTCAAATTCCAATGGAAAATCAATGATGTTGGCCTCTTCGGGCCGTCTTGGGAGCTCTCTTGGAGGCGTCTTAGGCCATCTTCGAGCCATCTTGGGCCGTCTTGGTGGGCTCCTGGCCCGTCGGACGACGTCGGAAGCCGTCTTGGGGGCCTCTCTGGGCCGACTTAGGGCCTTCTTGGGATGCTCCAGGGCAGTCCAGGGCAGTCTGTCTTGAGTTAGGATTGCCTGCGGGGCCATGCCAAGCAGCGAATTGCAACACACACACACACACACACAGCCAGCGTAACGCAAAACCCAACCGTGCAAAATCATACAACGCATTCCAAGTGCATGGCCGCGCAGTGCATGTGGGGTGCCCTGCAACGCGTTGCAACCAAGCACATGACCATATTCAAATACTTGCGCGCATGCTGGGCCCGCGCCGAGAAATATCCCAAGGTGGTCGCCCACATCGTTCATGTAACATGCCGTCTTTCACTGATACAATTGGGACCCATCTCTTAGGCAAGCCCGAACTGGGTAACGTGGTATTGAGAGGAGTCATGCCTAAAAGGGGAGTGCATGGAAGGGGCGTTGTTACCGCAGGTGGGTACGTAAGCAAGTTTGCCTCGGGTAAGGCTGCGCCGAGGAGTTTGCTGAATCGGAGTCGTCGGTGCGTTCCGATGTGGTGACGGCCGTCCTTCGCCCGCTCCGTGTCGCTACCCGGGCCGCCCGCGGACTGCCGGTCAGCCGGGCGGCCGTTCGTCAGCGGTGCGCAGCCGTTTTGGCCGAAGCATCTCCCGGGCGATCTCTTGGAAGCAGAGCCCCGTGCCGCGCTCGGCGCGCATCTGCCGCAATGGCCCGCTCCGCGTCCCTGCTGATCGCCTGCGCTGTGGCCGCCCTCGCCGCTCTGTCGGTGGGCTCCCTCGTGCTGTCCTTCGTCGGCGCCTCGTCCCCGGCCTCAGCGGGCCTCCGGGCGGTGCAGCGCGCGCCCGCCGTGGAGATGCATTTTTTCGGCGGCCCGCCGGTGACGACCACGCCCCCGCCGCCCGTGGGCCTGGGGGGCGTGGGCGGGAACAACTACGTGATCTCGATCACCATCCTCTTCTTCGGCTCGGTGCTCGCGAACGCCAACGGCTTCTTCGGACCGTGGTGAGGTCCCGAGCGCTCTCCGGGCCAGTCGATGGGCCTGCTGAGGTGGCTTCTCGACAGCGCCACGTTTTCCTGTGTTGCGCGCCATTTACGGGCGCCGCTTCTGCAGCCAGCGAACATCTAGGTTTCCTTCGGTGCGCTAGTTGTTGAAAATGAGCGTGCGGTTTCTGTCTGCTCCCTGCGCGCTCATTCTCTCGGAGTAAGATCGAAGACGCCTACGGCGAATCACCGCCGCCCCCTGCCTTTGGGAAAGGCCCATGCGGCCAAACATGGGGCCGAAACCTGGTGACGCTTTTTTGGACTACATGCTCGCGCTCCCCCAGCCGTTGCGGAACCCTTTAGGGGAATACGTGGGAGAAGAAGAAGCAGGAGGAGGAGGAGGATGAAGAGGAGGAACAGGCCTCTTGAGGCCATCCTGGGGCCTTCTGGGGGCTTCCTGGGAGTCTCCTGGGGACCTCTAAGGGACCCCTTCTCTTGGGGGCCTCGTGAAGCTTCTTGGTGACCTCCAACGCGCGTTATGCCCCTTCCCCTCTCCTCCCCCATAACGTAACGCTCCCCCGCCCCTCAATAGCGCCCCGGAACTACCGCAGTGAGTTCGGCACCACAGTCTGTCACGGTGGGGGGCGGGGGCGTTACGTTGGGCTCCCCCCCCGCCCCCCCATAATGTCTGTTATCGCCGCGAATGCAAAAATACCCTCCTGGGGGCCTCTTGGGGGCTTCTGGTGACTTCAATGGGATCCCTTGGTCTTCGGAGGCCGTCTTGGGGCCTTCTCTGGGCAGTCTTGGGTTCCTCTTTGGGCGCTGTAGGGCCGTCTGGGGCCTCTTGGGCTCTCTTGGGGCGATCTTGGGGGCCTGTGGGGCCGTCTTGGAGCGTCGGAATCTTGAAAAGGCGAGAATGCTGCAATCACCGAACAACCAACGGACAATCGATGATGTGAGCTTCATGGGCAGCTTGGGCCGTCTTGGGTGCAGACATCTAGAGATCATCTTGGGATCTCTTGGAGCTATCGTGGCCATCGTTGGCCATATGGAGGCATCTGCCAGACCATCCTGGGCCATCTTGCCCGTCTTGGGCAAGTTGAGCAATGCGAGATTTAGTTTGGGGTCCCTCTGGGTGGCTGGCGGGCTGGGTCCGAGGCAGGCAGGGACCTGTAACCAAAACGAGCGTTGTGGCCGAGCGTTGTGGCAAGAGCTCTTTCAAGCTATCGGACCATGTGTTTCCCCAGCCTTTGTGGAAACCCTTCGGGGAACACGTGGGGGAGGATGGCAGGGAATATCAGGAGGCGGCGGAGAAGGAGGTGGAGGCTGAGGAGGAGGTGGAGGAGACGGAGGTGGAGGAGACGGAGGAGAAGGAGGAGGAGGAGGAGGAGGGGGCATCTTGGGAGCCTCTGGGGACACTCTTGGAGCCTCCAGGGAGCTTCCTGGGAGCCTCTTGGAGGCCTCTTGGGGGCCCTCTTGGAGGCCTCTTGGGGGCCTTCGGGAGCTTCTCGGGAGCCTAGTTGGCCATCTTGGTGGGCTCTTAGCCCGTCTGACGCCGTCGGACACCGTCTTGTGGGCCACTCTGGGCCGACTTGGGGCCCTCTTGGGGTGCTCCAGGGCCGTCTTGGAGGCCTCTTGGAGGCCTCTTGGAGGCCTCTTGGAGGCCTTGGGCGTCTTGGAGGCCTCTTGGGCCGTTTTGGGGCCCTCTTGGGCCCGCCTTGGAGGCCTCTTGGGCTGCTCTGGGGCCATCTTGGAGGACTCTTGGGCGATCTTGGGGCCATCTTTGGGGGCTCTTGGGCCGTCTCGGGCCGTCGGAAGGCCGAACAGAAGCAAATGTCAACATCCTTCAACAACCTAAGGAACATCAATGATGTGGGCCTCTTCGGGCTTTCCTGGGGGCTCTCTTGGAGGCCTCTCGGGCCGTCTTGGGCCATCTTAGGGCCATCTTCGGCCGTCTTGGTGGGCCCCTGGCCCGTCTGACGCCGTCGGAAGCCGTCTTGGGGGCCTCTCTGGGCCGACTCGGAGCCCTCTTGGGATGTTCGAGGGCCGTCTTCGAAACTGTCTTGGGCATCTTGGGGACCCCTTGGGCCGTCGTTGGGCCGTCTTTGGGCCGTCTTGGGGGCCTCGTGGGCCGTTCTGTGGCCATCTTGGAGGCCTCTTGGGCGATCTTTGGGGGCTCTTGGGCCGTTTCGGGCCGTCGGAAGGCCGGAAAGAAGCAAATGCCAAAAGCATTCAACAACCACAGGAAGATCAATGATGTTGGCCTCTTCGGGCCTTCCTGGGAGCTCTCTTGGAGGCGTCTTAGGCCATCTTAGAGCCATCTTAGGCCGTCTTGGTGGGCTCCTGGCCCGTCTGACGACGTCGGAAGCCGTCTTGGGGGCCTCTCTGGGCCGACTTAGGGCCTTCTTGGGATGCTCCAGGGCAGTCCAGGGCAGTCTGTCTTGAGTTAGGATTGCCTGCGGGGCAATGCCAAGCAGCGGATTGCAAACACATGCAGCCAGCGTAACGCAAAACCCAACCGTGCAAAGTCATACAACGCATTCCAAGTGCATGGCCGCGCAGTGCATGTGGGGTGCAATGCAACGCGTTGCAACCAAGCACATGACCATATTCACATACTTGCGCGCATGCTGGGCCCGCGCCGAGAAATATCCCAAGGTGGTCGCCCACATCCTTCATGTAACATGCCGTCTTTCCTTGATAAATGGTCAAGCCCGAACTGGGTAACGTGGTATTGAGAGGAGTCATGCCTAAAAGGGGAGTACATGGAAGGGGCGTTGTTACCGCAGGCGGGTACGTAAGCAAGTTTGTCTCGGGTAAGGCTGCGCCGAGGAGTTTGCTGAGTCGGAGTCGTCGGTGCGTTCCGATGTGGTGACGGCCGTCCTTCGCCCGCTCCGTGTCGCTACCCGGGCCGCCCGCGGACTGCTGGTCAGCCGGCCGTTCGTCAGCGGTGCGCAGCCGTTTTGGCCGAAGCATCTCCTGGGCGATCTCTTGGAAGCAGAGCCCCGTGCCGCGCTCGGCGCGCATCTGCCGCAATGGCCCGCTCCGCGTCCCTGCTGATCGCTTGCGCTGTGGCCGCCCTCGCCGCTCTGTCGGTGGGCTCCCTCGTGCTGTCCTTCGTCGGCGCCTCGTCCCCGGCCTCAGCGGGCCTCCGGGCGGTGCAGCGCGCGCCCGCCGTGGAGATGCATTTTTTCGGCGGCCCGCCGGTGACGACCACGCCCCCGCCGCCCGTGGGCCTGGGGGGCGTGGGCGGGAACAACTACGTGATCTCGATCACCATCCTCTTCTTCGGCTCGGTGCTCGCGAACGCCAACGGCTTCTTCGGACCGTGGTGAGATCCCGAGCGCTCTTCGGGCCAGTCGGTGGGCCTGCTGAGGTGGCTTCTCGACAGCGCCACGTTTTCCTGTGTTGCGCGCCATTTACGGGCGCCGCTTCTGCAGCAGGCGAACATCTAGGTTTCCTTCGGTGCGCTAGTGGTTGAAAATGAGCGTGCGGTTTCTGTCTGCTCCCTGCGCGCTCATTCTCTCGGAGTAAGATCGAAGACGCCTACGGCGAATCACCGCCGCCCCCTGCCTTTGGGAAAGGCCCATGCGGCCAAACATTGGGCCGAAACCTGGCGACGCTTCTTTGGACTACATGCTCGCGCTCCCCCAGCCGTTGTGGAACCCTTTAGGGGAATACGTGGGAGAGGAAGAGGCAGGAGGAGGAGGAGGATGAAGAGGAGGAACAGGCCTCTTGAGGCCATCCTGGGGCTTTCTGGGGGCTTCCTGGGAGTCTCCTGGGGACCTCTAAGGGGCCCCTTCTCTTGGGGGCCTCGTGAAGCTTCTTGGTGACCTCCAACGCGCGTTATGCCCCTTCCCCTCTCCCCCCCCATAATGTAACGCTCCCCCGCCCCTCAATAGCGCCCCGGAACTGCCGCAGTGAGTTCGGCACCACAGTCTGTCACAGTGGGGGGCGGGGGCGTTACGTTGGGCCCCCTCCCGCCCCCCCCATAATGTCTGTTATCGCCGCGAATGCAAAAATACCCTCCTGGGGGCCTCTTGGGGGCTTCTGGTGGCTTCAATGGGATCCCGTTGTCTTCGGAGGCCGTCTTGGGGCCTTCTCTGGGCAGTCTTGGGTTCCTCTTTGGGCGCTGTAGGGCCGTCTGGGGCCTCTTGGGCTCTCTTGGGGCGATCTTGGGGGCCTGTGGGGCCGTCTTGGAGCGTCGGAATCTTGAAAAGGCGAGAATGCTGCAATCACCGAACAACCAACGGACAATCGATGATGTGAGCTTCATGGGCAGCTTGGGCCGTCTTGGGTGCAGACATCTAGAGATCATCTTGGGATCTCTTGGAGCTATCGTGGCCATCGTTGGCCATATGGAGGCATCTGCCAGACCATCCTGGGCCATCTCCCAGACCATCCTGGGCCAAATGAGCAATGCGAGATTTAGTTTGGGGTCCCTCTGGGTGGCTGGCGGGCTGGGCCCGAGGCAGGCAGGGACCTGCCTGTAACCAAAACGAGCGTTGTGGCCGAGCGTTGTGGCAAGAGCTCTTTCAAGCTATCGGACCATGTGTTTCCCCAGCCTTTGTGGAAACCCTTCGGGGAACACGTGGGGGAGGATGGCAGGGAATATCAGGAGGCGGCGGAAAAGGAGGTGGAGGCTGAGGAGGGTGGAGGAGACGGAGGTGGAGGAGAGGAGGTGGAGAAGAAGGAGGAGGAGGAGGAGGGGGCATCTTGGGAGCCTCTGGGGACACTCTTGGAGCCTCCAGGGAGCTTCCTGGGAGCCTCTTGGAGGCCTCTTGGGGGCCCTCTTGGAGGCCTCTTGGGGGCCTTCGGGAGCTTCTCGGGAGCCTAGTTGGCCATCTTGGTGGGCTCTTAGCCCGTCTGACGCCGTCGGACACCGTCTTGTGGGCCACTCTGGGCCGACTTGGGGCCCTCTTGGGGTGCTCCAGGGCCGTCTTGGAGGCCACCTTGGGCGTCTTGGGGGCCTCTTGGGCTGTTTTGGGGCCCTCTTGGGCCCGCCTTGGAGGCCTCTTGGGCTGCTCTGGGGCCATCCTGGAGGACTCTTGGGCGATCTTGGGGCGATCTTTGGGGGCTCTTGAGCGCCGTCTCGGGCCGTCGGAAGGCCGAAAAGAAGCAAATGTCAACATCCTTCAACAACCTAAGGAACATCAATGATGTGGGCCTCTTCGGGCTTTCCTGGGGGCTCTCTTGGAGGCCTCTCGGGCCGTCTTGGGCCATCTTAGGGCCATCTTCGGCCGTCTTGGTGGGCTCCTGGCCCGTCTGACGCCGTCGGAAGCCGTCTTGGGGGCCTCTCTGGGCCGGTTCGGGGCCCTCTTGGGATGCTCGAGGGCCGTCTTCGAAACTGTCTTGGGCATCTTGGAGGACCTCTTGGGCCGTCGTTGGGCCGTCTTTGGGCCGTCTTGGGGGCCTCCTGGGCCGTTCTGTGGCCATCTTGGAGGCCTGGGGATCTTTGCTCTTGGGCCGTTTCGGGCCGTCGGAAGGCCGGAAAGAATCAAATTCCAAAAGCATTCAAATTCCAATGGAAAATCAATGATGTTGGCCTCTTCGGGCCGTCTTGGGAGCTCTCTTGGAGGCGTCTTAGGCCATTTTAGAGCCATCTTGGGCCGTCTTGGTGGGCTCCTGGCCCGTCTGACGACGTCGGAAGCCGTCTTGGGGGCCTCTCTGGGCCGACTTAGGGCCTTCTTGGGATGCTCCAGGGCAGTCCAGGGCAGTCTGTCTTGAGTTAGGATTGCCTGCGGGGCAATGCCAAGCAACGAATTGCAAGCACATGCAGCCAGCGTAACGTAAAACCCAACCGAGCAAAGTCATACAACGCAATCGAAGTGCATGGCCGCGCATTGCCTGTGGGGTGCAATGCAACGCGTTGCAACCAAAAACATTACCATATTCAAATACTTGCGCGCGTGCTGGGCCCGCGCCGAGAAATATCCCAAGGTGGTCGCCCACATCCTTCATGTAACATGCCGTCTTTCCTTGATAAATGTGGGACCATTTTTTTAGGCAAGCCCGAACTGGGTAACGTGGTATTGAGAGGAGTCATGCCTAAAAGGGGAGTACATGGAAGGGGCGTTGTTTCCGCAGGCGGGTACGTAAGCAAGTTTGTCTCGGGTAAGGCTGCGCCGAGGAGTTTGCTGAATCGGAGTCGTCGGTGCGTTCCGATGTGGTGACGGCCGTCCTTCGCCCGCTCCGTGTCGCTACCCGGGCCGCCCGCGGACTGCCGGTCAGCCGGGCGACCGTTCGTCAACGGTACGCAGCCGTTTTGGCCGAAGCATCTCCCGGGCGATCTCTTGGAAGCAGAGCCCCGTGCCGCGCTCGGCGCGCATCTGCCGCAATGGCCCGCTCCGCGTCCCTGCTGATCGCCTGCGCTGTGGCCGCCCTCGCCGCTCTGTCGGTGGGCTCCCTCGTGCTGTCCTTCGTCGGCGCCTCGTCCCCGGCCTCAGCGGGCCTCCGGACGGTGCAGCGCGCGCCCGCCGTGGAGATGCATTTTTTCGGCGGCCCGCCGGTGACGACCACGCCCCCGCCGCCCGTGGGCCTGGGGGGCGTGGACGGGAACAACTACGTGATCTCGATCACCATCCTCTTCTTCGGCTCGGTGCTCGCGAACGCCAACGGCTTCTTCGGACCGTGGTGAGATCCCGAGCGCTCTTCGGGCCAGTCGGTGGGCCTGCTGAGGTGGCTTCTCGACAGCGCCACGTTTTCCTGTGTTGCGCGCCATTTACGGGCGCCGCTTCTGCAGCAGGCGAACATCTAGGTTTCCTTCGGTGCGCTAGTGGTTGAAAATGAGCGTGCGGTTTCTGTCTGCTCCCTGCGCGCTCATTCTCTCGGAGTAAGATCGAAGACGCCTACGGCGAATCACCGCCGCCCCCTGCCTTTGGGAAAGGCCCATGCGGCCAAACATTGGGCCGAAACCTGGCGACGCTTCTTGGACTACATGCTCGCGCTCCCCCAGCCGTTGTGGAACCCTTTAGGGGAACACGTGGGAGAGGAAGAGGCAGGAGGAGGAGGATGAAGAGGAGGAACAGGTCTCTTGAGGCCATCCTGGGGCTTTCTGGGGGCTTCCTGGGAGTCTCCTGGGGACCTCTAAGGGGCCCCTTCTCTTGGGGGCCTCGTGAAGCTTCTTGGTGACCTCCAACGCGCGTTATGCCCCTTCCCCTCTCCTCCCCCATAACGTAACGCTCCCCCGCCCCTCAATAGCGCCCCGGAACTGCCGCAGTGAGTTCGGCACCACAGTCTGTCACAGTGGGGGGCGGGGGCGTTACGTTGGGCCCCCTCCCGCCCCCCCCCTAATGTCTGTTATCGCCGCGAATGCAAAAATACCCTCCTGGGGGCCTCTTGGGGGCTTCTGGTGACTTCAATGGGATCCCTTGGTCTTCGGAGGCCGTCTTGGGGCCTTCTCTGGGCAGTCTTGGGTTCCTCTTTGGGCGCTGTAGGGCCGTCTGGGGCCTCTTGGGCTCTCTTGGGGCGATCTTGGGGGCCTGTGGGGCCGTCTTGGAGCGTCGGAATCTTGAAAAGGCGAGAATGCTGCAATCACCGAACAACCAACGGACAATCGATGATGTGAGCTTCATGGGCAGCTTGGGCCGTCTTGGGTGCAGACATCTAGAGATCATCTTGGGATCTCTTGGAGCTATCGTGGCCATCGTTGGCCATATGGAGGCATCTGCCAGACCATCCTGGGCCATCTCCAGACCTCCTTCAGGTGAAGGCAATGCGAGATTTAGTTTGGGGTCCCTCTGGGTGGCTGGCGGGCTGGGCCGAGGCAGGCAGGGACCTGCCTGTAACCAAAACGAGCGTTGTGGCCGATCGTTGTGGCAAGAGCACTTTCAAAGCTATCGGACCATGTTGTTTCCCCAGCCTTTGTGGAAACCCTTCGGGGAACACGTGGGGGAGGATGGCAGGGAATATCAGGAGGCGGCGGAAAAGGAGGTGGAGGCTGAGGAGGAGGTGGAGGAGACGGAGGTGGAGGAGACGGAGGAGGAGGAGGAGGAGGAGGGGGCATCTTGGGAGCCTCTGGGGACACTCTTGGAGCCTCCAGGGAGCTTCCTGGGAGCCTCTTGGAGGCCTCTTGGGGGCCCTCTTGGAGGCCTCTTGGGGGCCTTCGGGAGCTTCTCGGGAGCCTACTCTGGATCCCTTAATAATCGACCCCCCCCTAAAAAACCGGACCCCCCCTTCCTTCAGGACATAATTTTCCGGACCCCCCCCCTGCAGAGGGCGCCTTAATATTCCGGACCCCCCCCCAGCAAAATTGCGAGCGCGACGACGACGACGACGAGGATACGAGAACTACGACTACGACTACGACGACGACGACGACGACGACGACGACAACGACAACGACAACGACGAACTGAGGGGCACTTAAGTACGCAAGATGATGTTCGCGCTTGGGGTGCGACGAGGAAACCATCACCGAGATAGTCGTCATCGCCATCAGAAGTACCATCATTGCCACCGCCGCATCATATCGTGATGATGGTGATAACGACCATGATTAGGATGATGACGATGATGTTGGAAATGTTGTTGATGGTGATGCTGATGATGATGATGCTGCTGATGATGATGTTGGTGATGATGAAC